CACACAGTAGTGGTGATGTGAGTCGGGACTCCTCCTCTCAGCAGTAAACCTGCCCAGATGATGAAATAATGTATAATCAGCAGGAAAGCAACAGGGTTTACTAGGAACCAGTAATGTAAGAACCAATAGATCGTCTATATATTTATAAAACTCTCTATAGTTTGGACAGACTGTGATTTCCTTGTGTGAGTGAGCAAGGAGCCTATTCCTGGGAGCAGAGGGCACAATAACAATTACAGACAGCAGTTAACATGTGGAATTAAAGCTACACACTGACCCAGACGCACTACACCAACCTAACTGGACCGTACAACATTACCCTTCATTACAACATTACCCATTTTATAATATAAGAAAATGATGTTCAGAAGTAATCTTCTTATTTTACTGAAACATTTTTTTTAAGAATAACAGATACTTACATACTCAGAAATAATATTTACCCACAAGGGTAAAGCACACTCCAGTCTAATATCCTCAGGGCTAGAAGTTTGAATCCATCCTCCTTCCTGTTGTGTATGTGGAGTTTGCATGTTCTCACTGTGTCTGTAAGAATCTCTAGTTTCCTTCCTCAGTCCAAAAACATGCATTTAGCTTAACTGGTGACACTAAGCTGCCCATAGTGAGTGTCTGTGTGCCCTGTGACTGACTGGCATCCTGCCCAGGGTGCCCCCTGCCTCATCCTTCCTGTGTGGGTCCCAGGCTCACTGCAGCCCTGTACTGGATAATGGTTATGGAAGATTGACAGACAGACATATTGAACTTTGGGTTCCGGGTCCTAGAGTTCCCACCTGATATCCAAAATATGCAGGTGAATCAGCTCTAAGGATCCATTAGTGTGTGAGTGAGTGAATGCGTGTACATCTGAGTGTCTGGAGTCTGGTCCATGCTGTACCTCCCTGTCTTACTCATTTTTTCAGGGTTATAATATTAATCAATTAATAATTACTACAAATCCAAGTATATCTACTGGTCAGTGTTGCTGGAATTTTAAGTTGGTTTGTAATCAAATTGGAAAGAACTGAATTGAATTCATGTTTATTTTCTCTTCATGAATAACAATACAAAGATATGGTCATTAATAAAGGACATTGCCCATCTCAAAAACACAAAGAGCTTAATTCAGAAAAACTGAACTAGTGATATGTCTGTATAAAATTTGCCCCTTTTATTTAAACATTTGGACAGGAGCTTCCTCAGGCAGGACTGTCAGTCCCTCATCCCCCACATCATCATAGTCAGTCTGGTCGGGTTCAGGGGGGCCGTCCCCAGGGGGCAGTGTGGTCAAGGCTCTCTCACCTACAGGGACAGAGGAGGGGACACAAGTTAGTGAGACTGAACATAAATGAGTCACTATATTTATGAGTAAATAATGTTTATTAGGGAATTGATTTGTGTATAGAGCATGATTTGTAAATGATGTCTTTGCTTGAGAAATAGCACATAAAAATAAAAGGAACTTATATAACCATCTGAGAGGAACACTGTGGTGTGACAGGCTGATTCACTGCATTAGTTGTGTGTAAAGAGAAACTGACCCTGTATAACATGTGGACCCTGCTCTATACCATCTACATCATCATAGTCCTCTGCTGTCTCTCCTGTCACCATCAAAGCTGAACCTGAAACAGTAAAGACAGTTTAGTGTAATTATGGTACATTAGCCTGACATCAAACAAATGTTATAATTTACCAAACAAACTGCCTGAGTTCTGCCCAAAAGTAACTCCATCATCCCCTGTGGGTCTTTTCTCACGAGCTTCCTTGTCACAGTATGAAAAACCAGCCATATTCCAATAAATCATGCAGTACAGGATCAGGGCAAGACTGGAGCCTATCACAGGTGGTGTAGAGCACATGGCAGAGGAACAACCAGAACAGGGAACCATTCCATCACAGGACACACTAACAACAAGACATTATGGGTAATTTACAGACAACGGTTTGCCTAAGTGCATGATATTGGACTGCAGGAGGAAACCGGAGTGTCCAGAAGAGACTGGTGTAGCTGCAGCAAGAGCATCGAAACTTAGATCTGGGGGCAGAATTTAACCCCCTACACTGGAGGTGGGAGGTGACAGTGCTACACACAGAGCTACAACTGAACTGTTTATTTAATGTGTCTGCATGACATTGCAATAAGCATGTAATAAGAGGTTAAAAGATATACTGAGAAGGAACAAGGTACTGAGATAAATTAGACTAAATTACACAGCATAAATTACTAAATCCAGCATTTTTAACAAACTTTCACTAGTTCTGCAACAATGAAGAGTAGATTATGTGCTTCTTCCAGAATCCCACGGTAAGCACTGCACTAACCCCCCCACATCCACAGACCTCAGCCCCCTACCTGAGAGAGGGTCTCCCTCACTGTCCTCCACATCTTCATACCCAGAGGGCAGCTCCTCAGAGAGGACACGTCCTGTGAAGCAGAAAGTCCATCCTGTGCTCAGGGAGACGCTGCATGAAGTTTCCTCTGCTGATGCCTCTGAGACTGAGAGGAGACAGGATGTGTGGGGTTAGAGCAGCTAATGCTCACACCCCCACAAACTAACTGACAGTCTTACCAGCAACATCCTCTTCCTCCTTATTGGCTGGTTTCTCTCTC